AGCAACGAGTTGTTCCTCCGTCTCCTGGATATCGTTTCGGGCAATCAATTGGTAGAACTCAGTTGTGTAATCATCAACTGATTTGGCACCCTGCTTCAGATTTTGCAACCGTTGGTACATCAACCTTTTAAAATTATGGGGTAGGAAGTTGGATCGTAAACACTTCTTCATCTTCCTCCAAGTCACGACCTTTGACTTTCCAAGCCTGTCTCGTGTCAGTTTCAGTTGTTGCCACTATGTAGATGCCCTACCACGTAGCCTGGTAGAAATCAATGACACTCTTTTGTTTTCAGGGACTTCTTTGAACTCAAAAACTTCCTCGATAGTAGCCAACCAGTTAATGAACCCCTCCGGATTCAAACTGACCCCGTCGAATTCCGGGATATTAATTCTCATTCCGGCCTCCCAACGCCTATTGTCACCTCTATGATCACGCCTTGGCCTCCTTTCTAGATCGTCTTCAGAATATGAACCGTCACTGCCGCCGAACGGGTTCCCAAATTCACCATCTTCCACTTGAGAATGTGTTCGAGACCTTTGCCCTCCTCGATTCATCAGTTCGACCATCCTATCAGTCAGTTGGTCAACCATTTTATCCATCCTCTCCTCCATTCGTGCCATAATACGTTCTTCTAGTTCTTGCTCATGAACATTAGCGGGCGTCCTGTTTCTCCTCGGAGGCATTTTGAACCAGGAATTCGGCTTTGATACCAACTGATGCAGCGCAAAAAACAACACAATGATAAACAAGAATGAACCTGTTGATTCTAAAAGAATAGCCAGGACAATCTCTTCAAAACCACGTTGATTCTACGAATACCGTGGGATTGGCTTCAAATCTGGATTAACACACAGAATTTGGGAGAAAATCGAAAGTTCATAAAATTGATGATCGACTGTCCAAATTACATCAAAAACAGTTAAATAAGAAGCAGAAATTAAAATGAAACCCTAAAAGTCCATGGGCCAAATACAAACCCAAAAACAAAACCCAAAAATTAAGGAAAAATAACAAAATTGTTCATAACTCCATTTAGAAAGCGATTTCTGGACTCAAAAATGGGTAAGTCCCGTTTGGGGACTTATCTAGATGTGCTCCTTGCTCCAAGCTTCGATTTGACTAGTCGTAGGCCCGAAACGGAGATTTGTAGCCAAAGTTATGGCTATTTCCGTGAAGCCCCTTTAGTCACACGATCGTGGGCCTCTAGGAACGCAAGGGCCCGATCCTCCACACTAGGGCCCGCATCAGTTATGGATTCTATTCGCCAACATGAGAACTCAAGGATTTCGTATAGTATCATGGAAGGTGATTTGGAGTATCGGGCCGGTTAAGATTTCAAGAGTACTCTTCAGGATTTCAGAGGATGGGCGATCAGAAGGTCTAGCTGGTAATGGATCACTAGCTTTGGTAAGCGCAGGTTGTCAGCGGTTCGACCATTGGAGGGTAAGAAGGATTTGAAATCCTTCAATTCTCGTGTACTATAAGGACTTAGTCGAGTCAAAGTGGGGGAGAATCACTTAAGTATTCATGTTAGAAGCACGTGTGAAACTAGGATGATTTTCGCATCCCCATCGAGGAGGAAGGCGACCCAAGTGGCTGTTTAGATTGAGGATTGTGTGAGTTAGGAGTTTGGGAAACTTCCCAACATTGGGTTCGCATCTCTTAGTGTTTTATATCAAGCGTTAGGGGGGGGGGGGACCTAGGTTGGGGGTTCCAGTCATGACTCGAGTTCAGCTCGGGTGTTGGGTCGACTGCGTGCTCGACTCTGGACATGTTCGAATTGATAGATTAGTGGTAAGGAATTGGGTGGAAGTCGTGGAAAGGTGGAAGTGTTGTAAGACTACAAGGTTGCCATTCACTAGTTAGCAGTTAGGTGGAAGTGTTGTAAGACTGTAGGGTGGCTTGTAGCATTCACTAGTTAGCAGTTAGTATGGAAGTGTTGTAAGACTAAGGGGGTGGCCCACAACATTCACTAGTTAGTAGTTACTGTGGAAGTGTTGTAAGACTGCGGGGTGACCTGTAACATTCACTAGTTAGAAGTTAGTGTGGAAGTGTTGTAATAATGCAAGGTGACCCATAACATTCATCGGTCCCTGTTCAACGGTGAGATTGTGTCAAATCTACGATTTGCTCACGGATTTCTTCAAATAGTTTAGGCCAAGGTGAGTCTGTTCGTAAGGCTATGGGAGTGCCACAACATGTTTGGAATCAGGATTTGGTAGGTTGTGGGAGACCGGATATGAGATAAGACTACATCTGGTCCTGTAGCGTTCAATTTAGCATCAGTTTACTGTTGTGATGGTTCAGGTAATAATTGTCGGTCGAAGTTTTCTGCTAGAAGTCGCATGAGGCAACTGTGAGGGTGTTCCTTGGCTCAGAAACCGGGCAGGAATCCAGTATTCCAGATAGTTAGCAGATAAGTTGGCACCAGAGAGGTCGCAGTTATGTTTGGAAAGCAGTTGGGAGGCAGCATGATGCTTCGGGTCGAAGTAGTGATTTGAGGATTCATGTGTGCCTTAAAAATAATGATGCACAAACAATGACACATGGTGATTTACGATACGCAAAAGCGTGCGCCCTAAAAATAATGTCATCTCTTCTAAAATTTGAAGGATAAAGTACACACTTTTGTGCATGCTCTAACATTAATGTCCAACAAAAAAAACACGGAGGGCACTTATTTAAACTGGGCGTCGTCTAGAAATGTCGTTTTATATTTTTTTATTGAAAGGCGCGTTCTCTTCTTTTGCAGCTGGGGGGAAACGAAAATCCCAAAAGTTTGAAAGGCACATTGTTATCCTATACCGTATTTCATCATTCTTTTTTTTCTCTCTCTCTTTGTCTCTCTCTCTCTATTTGTCTCACTGTAATACCCAAAAAAACCCTAGTATCATCACAAATCCTCTTTTCTCCCACAACAAAATCGCAATATCACCAAATCTTTGATCCAGTCTTTTGAATAGATCGAACCTGCAGGGGTTCTCGATTTCTCTATGTTGATGTGTGGTGACACGAACAAAAAAAGAGTGTAGTGCCTATACCTTTCAATTTCATTTTTTGGTTGCTTCAAATCGACTCTTGCTTTGTCTCTCACAGGGGTTTCTTTATGCATTCCCTTCACCTCTGTTGATGTCGTTTTCCAAGTCCAGTATGGATAATCAGCATCACCGGTAAGTGGATGCTTGCGTGCTTAACTCCTCTGAACCCTACATCAGCCTCACGTGATAATGTGATTCATGAAACGGCGTCGTTTGCTGATGAAAGTTGCCTTATTGATTGCTTCCGGTTAGCCTGACATCACAATGAGGCGGAAGACTTGGTTGTGGGTTTTCCTTGTGGCCGGTGGAGTTTCTCCCAATGATGCTTTTCACTCTTACATCTCCTTTAATCAACACCTCTTCTTCTTTGTTGCTTACTCACCCTAAATCAGGTAATATCGACACCTACCTAGCGGTGGGGTTTCCTTCTTTACAGTGGTGGAGTGTTTCCCCAAAGCTACTTGGTTTGAATAGCCGATGAAACGTGCCCTTTCCACCTCTACTTCCATTTTCCGACTCACCCTCTGTTAATACTGTCTATTAATAGCTTCAGTCGCCAACTCCCGATGTGGGTTTCAATATATTGTAAGGATGTTGGTGCTTCATAGTTGATATCCCTTGTTTATTAGGTATTGTAGGGACTGGTCTTGGAGAGGAATGAAAATCAGCGATTCATGGTTCAAACATTTGTCGAAGTCATAGTAACAGACTATATATATCTGATGTCATATCGGTTCTTTGTTGGACCAATGTATTTTATCTTGTTCACTAGACAAAAGGATAAAAGTTTTTATGCTTTCACTTTGTAAGATGGTATATATGCTATCTGTTCTTGCAATTACAGCAAAACGTATTTCACTTTGTGATTCTACTTGGTGCAAAAGTATAAGACTATGCCTAATCCACTAATTGATTCCGTTGTTCTCTAGAAATTTGGTTAGGGTTTACTAACTCATATGTTGTTTAACTGTTTTGATTCAGTTAATCTTTATATTCTATTTGATTATGGGTTATTGTTAATAACCAAACAGTATCCGGAGGGGTAAGAAGCATCAGGGGAGGTAGTAGGTAACCAGAAAAAAGCGACTTCAAACTGTTACGCTTCTGCTCTTATTATTATACTCATTAAACATTCATGATAAAAGAGTTATTTAACATTTCTTCTTCTTGTTGTTATCCAGGGGTGCATTGGTAATTACAACACCTTATGCTAGTGGCTTTGACCACTTCTTCATAGTAGACGAAGTTCAGTTTAAATTTAACAGGTGTCTTAGGGCTCTACACGAAACAGTGAGCATTTTCTTTTATGTTTTATGTATATAAAGTTTGTTTCTATTTTCTTTTGCCTGAATTAAGGTTCGTATACATATAATATAGGTCAGGGATCTTTCATCTTTTGGAATTGGACATTCTCTAGGATCCGTCATCCACCTTTTGATTGGTTATTTTTCTTTTTCCCTTTTTCTTTTTCTTGAACCAGTGACAAATTGACAATCACGTAAGTTAGTATTGATCAGGTTCCAGGTATGCTATACATACGTGTGGTAATGTATATATGGCTTTCAACAATAAGGTACTTACTTACTTGTTATTATCCATTTCTCTTTAATTATTGCATTTAGTATATCATAATATCATTGGTCTTTCAGGATGCCAGCATGGCTATCCTATTGCTCTCACATGTTCTTTTACCAATGGCTCAAAGCATTGGACCAATCCTCTCACAGATTGCATCATCACCAACTATCCGTTTTGGGGTGACAATTAAGAAACAATTTTTTTTAAATATAAAATGAGTGATTCCATTTGTACAAGCTAAAATGACTTTAAAAAACTTGGAGAACCTTAACCCTCGAATTAGGACACAAGTTATACCATTGATTGAGCAACTTCCTCCTTTGTACATGGAGTTGGCTAATGGAAGAGACAATTTCTCTCTAAAACCAGAAAAAACTTGAAGACTGGTATCTATTATTAATTATGTAAATGTAAATGTAAATCCTTTTGTTGAAAGTTGAAACAATATGAATTTGTTGTGTAGATAAAATCATACTATGGAATCTCAAGGAATCTTTTAATTAAATTCAAAGATGATACGATTAATCCACCCTACCTTAGGTGCTTAGCTCAGAGTCTGCCATTTGTTCAATGCTGTATATGTCAATTCGTTCACTCCCTGGTGATCATGGACTTCCTTTACAACAGGTTTGGCTGTTGTTGTTTCTGTTTGACTTATTGACTTAATAATATATCTTGTGTTGTAATTTGTAAACCTATTTACATTGATCAGGCTTAGCCAGATGTCTCACTGGGATTGGTGGATGTTGTAAACAAGGGTGGAGAGCTATTTGCAAATTTAACTGCACCATGTGAAGCAGTTGCTAAAGAAGTAGGTAATTCACTAGGTGTAGACTCTCCAACTCTTCATGCAAATAATTCAAAAAAGTTGGATTTGCTTGCTGATACAATTATTGCTTGGATGATTACAAACACTGGTGTAAATCTTTTGAAGAAATAGGATTAGAATCCCACCAAAAGCTAAGATGGGAGTATAATATGCTCAATATTTGTAAGCTTGGTAAATGAATAGACTCGTGAACACTATCAAGCTATGCAGTTAATATCAGCGGTTTCTAGTTGATTTCCAGGTGGGATATCAGTTATCGATACCTTTCAAAATATCAGTGTCAAATATCGGTCCAAAATATCGGAACCGCAAAAATCGGTGATATTTACCGATATTTAACCGATATTTCTAGGAGGGATATCGGTTAATAAATTTTACTTACTTCCGTTAGTGTTAAATCATTGTCTTAAGTCTTATGATCTTAACTTATCTGATCATGTTGTTATGTTAAGTACTTAATTGTTAGTTTTAAATCATAGACTCATGTTTTTAAGTCTTAACTGATCCTATTGTTGTGTTAATTATTAAATACTAAAGTGTTAACTTGCTAGTTTCTACTGGTTTGATCATCTTGTTACGTTAAATACTAAATTCTTAATTGGTGATGATGATGATGATGATGATGATGATGAAGATGATGATATTAGAGTTGATGTGGAAGATCTTTATAAAATAATTGGAAGCCTTGGTTGATTTTCTTGGAGGAAAATTCAATGGCTTACGTATGATGATGCTTGAAACATTGACACTTTTGAGTTTTGACTTTTGATATATTACTATTATATATGTCTTACATTTATATATATATATATATATATATATATATATATATATATATATATATATATTATGCAAGATATAAAAATACCGATATCCCACTGATATCTCACCACGATAACCTATATCTCAAATATCGGCCCTTGATCGGTATTTGATTTTGGACTGCTATAGCTGCCAAGCTATCAAGTGCATGGAAATGCATAGAAATTGATGGTAAAACACATGCGAACATCACCAAATGTTGTAAAATACAAGTGGTAAAACACTATCAAGTTCATTTGTTAATAAGCTTTTAATTTCCATCTCTTCTTGTGTCATACATTATCACCAAGATACTTCGGGATCACAAATCTCACTTACCAACTTTATCTTTCAGATACCAAAGCAGGGAACACGACAGATTTTGGATACTTCGGGATCACAAATCTCACTTCTCAACATTACCACCATACTACAATCCTATTGTTGCATCTGGTCCTGCCCCTCGCCCTTATATGTGGGGACCTCCATAGGTATAACATGCAAACAATTATCTCCATTCATTCAGATTTATCAGGTTGACCTTTCTGTTGACTTTTTTGTACTTGCAAAATCACAAAATCAGCATATGATGCCACCATATGCTGCTTTCTATCCACATGGAGGTGTTTATGCACATCCTATAGTTCATCTTGTAAGTCTTCATGACCTTTCTAAGATCATCTTGTAAGTCTTTTATGAAGGTGGAAACGATATTGATGGGAACTCACACAGGTGGAAACCATAGCTCGTTTATAAAACAGTGGGGAGATTGAAGGAACGGGTGAAGGAATTGATGGGAATATAACTGAGGTAAGAAACCTCTATGTCATCAGTTGAAGTTGAAAAGGCTGAGCCACAAACGATGGCTAAAACTAAGGTAAACCGAAATAGAGCTCTATTTTTAACTTTGTTTTACTAACTTTCTATTTTTATAACATCCTGTATCTTATAAAAGTTTAATCTTTATCAGGTTTGTTGATCAGTTGAGTAGCTGGCAAATACCAACAGATGTGACTGAGCAAAGAAAAAAGAAAGAGAGGTATGGTGTGGAAGATGGGATTTCATCGATTGAAATCATGTTTTACAATAGTCTTCCAACCATTCTTGGCGTTTCTTATAATAGTTATTGGAGAATTCTCAAGTTCAATCTCATTATTATATGCAAATGTCAGGATCTCCTTATGTGTGTATATTTAGTGTTTTGAGAAGCCTTATTGACATTATTTGGTAAATAAGAAAAAAGTTAATTACTAAGACCCTGGTTCTTTTCTCCCCATTAAGTGTTATCTTGGATGAAGTGCTATATGATAAATGATGCTAAAAACATATTTGAAAAGTGAATAAGGGAAACTTGTTAAAAGTTAGGACTTGATAAGGATAGTTAAATTCACATATTTTGTAAGGATAGTTAAATTCACATGTTTTGAATCATTTAGACAACATGTTTCTCTCTTACATTATTTTTATTTCATTACTCTATACGGTGGAGATGATGCTCTTGACCAAGCTACAAAGGAAGGGGGAGATAGAGATACATTAACTGTTATGGCGCCTATTGCTAAAAAAGAAAAGAGAAATAAAGCTTATGATGTGGACATGATATCTGAAACAAGAAGGTGTCCCTTAATAGCAATGTAGTATTAGGTCATATAGTTCGGGAAAACCTCTTAATAACAATGTACAATCGGATCCCCTTTATACGAATGTATTACAATATTTTGACATGATATTATGCATGAAATTGATTGTTTTGGTATATATTTGTTTCCATATTATTGCATTACGCGTAAATAAGTATCATAAAGACGCGTCGTAAATGTATATCGTAAATGGTTGCTGAAGTTTATGACACACAAATGCGTGTCATCTTCATTTATGACAGGGGCTTTAATGATAAGCAATGCGCGTCATAAACGTGCGTCGTAAGGTCACGACACGCAAATGCGCGTTGTCTTCCTTTATGATAGGGGCTTCCTTGATACGCATTTCGCGTCATCTATAGACGACGAGCAAAAGCGTGTCGTCTCTTGTTATGACAGGGCCTTCCTTGACACGCATTTGCGCGTCGTCTAAGCATTTTACGACACGCTTTGCGCGTCGTAAAAGGCTTTTTTTTTCTTTATGTATTGTATATGAAGTTGTATAGTACTACTATAATTTTATTTTGGTTCTGTTAAAAGGAAATTTTAGTTATTTTTGCTTGCTATGTTGTTTGAGTAGGATGAAGTATTTGTAAAACCCATGTTATATTTGTGATGAAGTATAGTTAATGTAATTAAAAATAAGTTTGTAATGAATTCGTTATTAAGGAAAATAATTTACATAGATTATATATACTTTAACATGCCCGGTTAATGTAATTAAAAATAAATTTTAGATGAATTCGTTGTTAATTATTCATTATAATACTATGTTTTCAATAAATTATACACAACTTGATTAGCACAACTGGCTTAACTGCGCCCTTTTCTAGCATAAGCTTAACTTTGAGTCTGCTTGCCAGCAATATCTATTCATTTTTACATTTTTTAGCCGTTATTTTATGCCACATATTACCAATTCAAAAACATTTCATTCAAACCATATCTTACAAACTCCAACGATCATAATAATAATTCATCCATAGTATAACAAAATTAATCAAGCATACACCATCCCAATAAATGTCGTCACAATTAGCTAAGCATTTTGTTCCATAGCAAAACAAGCAAACGAAATCATATTCCATAGCATAGTTTCCTAGCAAATACCTACGAATGGTACTTCCATAGCAATTCAACTATGGAATTGGTTTCCGTCACAAACTCTGTTGCATATTAACCACGATGATGAATTCCATAGCAGCAGTACAACGTAAAATGATTTGGTAACAAATGTTGTTGGAAAATTGCTACGAATTTTTGTTCCATAAAACTATCGGTAGCATAATACCAACGGATATGGAGTCGGTAGCATTTTCCCAAGCAACTCCCACTCTCGCTACCAGAAATAAAATATGTAGACAATGTGGTAGCAACATTGCTATGGAACGACATTCCATAGCACGATCCATTGTAGATTAACAACGAAAATACGTTCCATAGCAACCTTCCCTAGCAAAATTGTGTTTTTCTTGTAGTGAATAGGAATGACAATCCCACACCTAAACTATCAGCTAGAGTTAGACCGGCAGGTCTGGGGTGACAAATGTCATAACATTTCTGACGTCTGAAGAACGTCGTTATAGGATGACTGGGTCATAGCATGGTTGTCACTAACTCACATGGGGTATTAACAATACATATGGTTTACGGGGTTTAACAATCACATAAAGTAGTTTTATTTATGTAATACTACAATATCCTATTTTCAAGTACACACATTCACACATATCGTCTTAGCGTAGCTAAGACTACATTTCGTCCAGAATTGGTAGATTCCATCCATAATGCTTCGTGTATACATCAGATTTATATAAAATTTAAACACGATCGACTTGGAATTGGTGGGTCCGCCTTAGATCATGTTCTTTGTTTGGTTGTGGCTTAGGGCAGACACATTACATTCGACGGTTTATTTAACCTTAATTTTATATAAATTGTATACACTAGGGGATTATAGAATGAAGCTATGTGTTTTTTCTATGAGTACACCATTTTATAACATAGAAGCTTATGTTTCTCGAGGAACATTTATCCAGGTGCATACATACATAAGGGTTGCGTACAAATACAAGTACAATACACTACTTTTCTAGTACAGTGCAAGTTACATTTCTAAAAGGACCATTATCGTTAACTGCGTGATTACCTAGTGAATATGTTAGGGTTATACACAATGAAGATCTGGTAGGCAGTGGAATGTGTGAGTTTCGCCTTAGATCTTGTTCCTTTTTTGGTTATGCGCTTAGGGTAGAACCACACATTCGACTATCCGTTCGATCTGGATTATATATATATATATATATATATATATATATATATATATATATATATATATATATATATGTATATATATATGTATATAACTTATATTCACTAAATGTTTGTAGAAGGAACTGGTATGGGTCACCTTACTTACCTTTCATTTACTAAGAAAATATTGGATTTTCTGGAGGAACACACTAACGTTTTCAAGGAACAAAGAACATACTTCCTAATACAAAAATGCTTATGAAGTCACCAACTCAAATGTTGGTACACTTTCAAAACCACTTGTATTCTTAGGAAACCAGTAGACATGTACACGTACAAGCTTCGAGAAGACGGAGCATAACAACTTATAGTCTTTGTTTTTGCTATTTACTTTTGGAGTCAATCATTTGTGATTCAAATACAATGTAAACACTATATTATTAATACAATGGTTGTTGTTGCTTTGATTGCTATTATTCATCTGTTGTGATACTGTACATGACGTCCTCGGCCCCCGAACATTTCCGCCTTCTCGGTTTGGGGGTGTGACACTCCGGCACCTCCTAATCAATATGCTGGAAACCTTCCAAAGTGTAACAAGTGCAATTTCCATCACACCGAAGTTTATCGGGAAATGCACTACAAAAACTACAACAGGAAGGGGCACACCACCGATTTCTGTAAGGCACCGGCACAACCAATCACCCAAGTGCCCAGCGTTGGAATAAGCCAGGCTTGTTACAGGTTTGGTGAAATAGGACACTTCAAGAGAGATTTCCCTAAGGCAAAGAATGTTGGCGGTGTGGGAAGAGTATTGAAAATAGGTCACGAAGAAGCAATAGCAGATCCTACCATGGTTACCGGTACATTTCTCCTCAACAATTCATACGCATGCATTCTTTTCGATATTGGTGCGGAGAAAAGTTTCGTGAGCCATAAATTTAAACATCTACTTAAACAAAATCCCCAATCACTAAAAGACACATTCACCATAGAAATGGAAAATGGAATGACAGACAGCACAAACTACATATACATAGGATGTACCCTCGCTCTAAACACAACTATTCCTTCCGAATCGACCTTATGCCAGTCTCAATAAAAAGCTTCGATATTATCATCGGAATGGATTGGTTAATTCCTCACCGTGATAATATCCTATGTTACGAAAAATCCATTCATCTTAATATGCCAAGTAGCGAAACCCTTGTCATTTATGGCGACAAACCCGACACGAACCTTCAAATCATTTCTTGCGTCAAGGCCCATAAGTATCTTCGCAATGAATACTGTGCCTTCTTAGCTCACGTGGTAGATAAGAAACAAGAAGTGAAATATATGAAGGATATCCCCGAAGTTTGTAATTTCCCCGACATATTCCCCGAAGATCTCCCAGGGGTACCACCAGAACGCCAAGTCGAGTTCAGAATTGACATTATTCCCGGAGCTACCCCTGTAGCCAAATCCCCATACCATTTAGCACCGATAGAAATGCAGGAACTATCCATTCAACTAAACGAACTACTAAGCAAAGGATTCATCAGACCAAGCCTCTCGCCTTGGGGAGCACCGGTCTTGTTTGTGAAGAAGAAGGATGGATCATTCCGTATGTGCATAGACTATCGGGAATTAAAGAAGCTCACTATCAAAAACCGATACCCTTTACCTCGAATCGATGATCTCTTAGATCAACTGCAAGGAGCAAGTTTATTCTCAAATATCGACCTAAGATCATGATACCATCAGCTACGAGTTCAGGAGGATATTCCTAAGACCGCATTTAGAACTTGCTACGGTCACTATGAATTTGTAGTGATGTCGTTCAATTTAACGAATGCACCCACAATGTTCATGAACTTGATGAACTGTGTGTGTTGAACTTAGACAAATTTGTAATAGTTTTCATCGATGACATATTTTTCTACTCCCAAAGCAAGGAAGAACACAACCAACACTTACGAAAAGTCTTGGAAACATTAAGGGCGGAGAAGTTGTATGCGAAGTTTTCGAAATGCGAATTCTGGATTTGAAAGGTAGATTTCCTAGGTTACTTGGTCAACAAGGAAGGGATACACGTGGAACCCTCTAAAATCAAAGCTATCGAAATCTGGGCAACCCCTAAAACCCCAACCGAGATTCGTCAATTTCTAGGCCTCGTTGGTTACTACAGAAGGTTCATTCAAAACTTCTCTAAGATCGCAAAACCACTCACCACCTTGACTCAAAAGGGTGTAAGCTAAAATTGTACAATGCCTGCCTTAACAAACTTTATTGGTGGCCAAAAATGAAAGCTAAAATTGTTACCTATAAGGGCAAGTGCCTGCCTTGCACTATAGTCAATGTAGAATACCAGAAGCCTTCAAGTTTACTACAACAACCAGAAATACCCAAATGGAAGCGGGAGCGGATAACTATGGATTTCATAACCAAGTTGCCCAAGACAACTACCTATCGAGTATTAATTATATATAACCTTGATGTATAACCTAAGGTATTATAGAGTTAACCACCTAAGGTCCTTTAAGTTTATAATGGTTTAATAAAATGGATTAAACCCTTTACTGGTAAGTTTCTAGTTTTGTATAACAAATGTTCTAATTGAAAAGTGTTTTTTTGTACTATAAAATGGTGTATTGAATTTGTATACTATGACCTGGACCATACCTGGTACCCCTTATGATTACTTGGTGTATACAGAACATATATGTAGTTAAGATCGGATAGATAGTAAGTTGGGTGAATCTT